TTGTTTTTTCTCGTTGCATAGAAGTAGCATCATCTCAGTTAACATTAAAATTTAATAGCATTAAGTATCTAATTTGTTATTTTATATTTTTTTTAAATATCTACCTATAGGTATTTAATATAGGTAATATATTTCAAACGTTTTAGTCATGTACAAAAATAAATACTGTCTGTTTAATTTTGCGATAATTAACTACATGTTTATAATACTCATAAAAGAAACTTATTATAATAAAAACTCCAATTTTGAGCAAAATTTTAATTTTTACTTTGATCCCCTTCTTTCCCTTCTTTTCTATCACTTAATTGATCTCTCCTGAGCAGGCACTCAGTTTTTATATTTAAGTCGGGTTTCATCCTGCCAATGAAATCACTATATAGCATCTTGAATTTTTTTGTCAATCTTTTACAAATTTTTTGGAATGTAAACATATTGTAGAAAAAGAAAAGGAACTTGGAATTTTTATGACATTTGAAATATATAAGCGTCTTTTGTGTATCTTTATGATAGATTCAAACTCACCTATGGCAATTCCGGGATCGCTATTAAGAAGCTGTTGAATCTCAGTTCCTTGACTATGAATTTTCCATACAGGATCAAGTTGCGCGGTACCACGTGGATCGAGGGCAATTGTCGTATATTTACGGAAGTCCGTCGCCCATATTAGACTATTATTAGGACAATTGTCGTGGATGTTGATAATCGTGTCGTTATCATTGTCGTTCCAACATGCATCGCCAATATTATCGTCTATATACGTAAAATATAGAAATATTTATTTTAACATGCTTTTCCATTAATATTGTTTTTCTCGTAATTAATAAGAAAAAATAAAACTAATAATAAAAATAAAACTACTTTCATGTTTTTTTCAAAATTAAAAAAATTTAAAATACTGACTTTAAGTATTTCATGTTCCACTATTTATTTCTTCTCATTTCTTTCATGTAGGAAAGATTATGGTACCATTTGCTTCCAGCAAAATTTCGTCAAACTTACGATTAAGATCACGTTGATCCGGATTGTAGACGTAAGGACAATTATCGATCATATTGGGTACACCATCGCCATCGATGTCGTCGTCGCATTCGTCGCCGATCCCGTCGTGATCGACGTCGTTCTGTCCGGGGTTTGCTACATCCGGACAGTTGTCTCTGTTGTCCTGGACACCGTCCCTGTCGCGATCCGCATTGGTATCGCAAATATCCCCGACGCCATCGCCATCAATATCTGCTTGATCTGGATTGCTAATGTCAGGACAGTTGTCGCAGACATCACCGATGCCATCCCCATCGCTGTCACGCTGATCTGGATTCTTTACTTTGACACAATTGTCCTGATTGTTGTATATACCTGAACGACATATCTTTGTTAGCACATTATTACGTCGATAATTGTAATCATCTTTCTATTGTAAGAAAAATACAATAATATATTGAACGTTTCTTATTTAGAATTTTTTTTTTCATTTTTTTTTATTTGGCATTTAATAATTTTTTTTCATTCAGTATTTTTATTCCTTTTTAATTTTTCTTTTTTACTTAGCATTTAATAAGTTTCTTTTCAATATTAAAAATTTACCGTCGTTATCCATATCGTTATCGCATGCGTCGCCCGAACCATCATCATCACAATCCTCCTGATTCGGATTCCAAACCAATGGGCAATTGTCGCAGGCATCGCCGATCTTGTCGTTGTCGGTGTCTAGCTGGTTCGGATTATATATAAGCTTACAGTTGTCAGATAGATCCAGTATGCCGTCATTGTCGTCGTCATCGTCACAAGCATCGCCAATTCCGTCTTCGTCAGTATCTTCTTGGCCACTGTTTGGTATTGTCGGACAATTGTCGGTGTAACAGCGACGGTCGTGGCAATGAAGACTTCTGTCAGGGATGCCGTCGCTATCGCTGTCGGGACCGCAGGCGTGTCCATTACCAGCCCATCCGACGCGACACTATAAAAAATATATCCAAATTGTTTGATCATCTGTTTTTACATAATAAAATAAAATATAAAATTACGTAATTCGATTAAATCAATGAAATTTGTTTTCTTTAGAAATTAACTACGAATTATTATAGTTGTGAAGATTGATAAAGAATTAAACAAAGATGAAATGATATCTATAATAGAAGTCATTTTTCGTTAAATTTTTTATAATATAAATAATAATATTTTTTTCAAATTTATTCTACTTGTATTTTTTCCAAGTTTTTTTTCTTTTTTATTTAAAATTCTTTTCTCTGTGGGATTTTGCTATCTTTATTTTGATAAAGTTATTTCTGCATTATAGGAATTCTGTATATCGATTTTTTATTAAGAATAATAATTTTAATAATAATATTATTATTATTATTATGTTGGATAACTGAAGTTCTTACCTTGCATATATATTCGTTGGTGTACATAGCGATGCAATAAGCATTGACATCACAAACTGTTATCATATCTGGACAGACATCATGCTGAAGGTGACATCCTATCGTTTGATTACCGATGTAACCACCTCTGCATGGGCCACACCTATAGGACCCCTTTAGTAACAGAAAGCGATAGAGTTATAAAATATTTAATGAAATAGATCTCGTTGCGTTTCATGTTAAATTCGAATTCGAAAAAAAATTACTTACTTCCGTGTTAATACATTCTGAATAGGGATTGCATCCACCGTTGTTGATCTCGCACTCGTTTATGTCCTCGCAGATCTGTTTCCGCGTTCTGGCCATCTCTACTCCAACACCTTCCGTCATTGGCCCCGTGTAACCTGTCGGGCATCGGTCGCATCTGTATCCAGGATGGAGGTTGATACATCGCACACCGGGATGACAGGGTCGTGCCAGCTCGCATTCGTTCGCGTCGAGACAAACCGTGCCATTGCCCACGTATCCCATCGGACATGGACCGCATCTGTGTATCACGTTTGACAAGAAAATATAGAAGTATATAAACTTGAGAATTACGAATTATAAAGCGGATTTTAGAGAAGAAAATTTTATATTGTGATTGATGTATAAATATATGTATATAAATATATAAAAATATATATAATTATATAATAATTATATACGAAATATATTCATATATTACATTCAGAGAAAAAAATCGTACCAGTAACTAGAAATTTATACACAAATAGCGCTTCAACTATGTATAACAAAGTTGTAATAAGAACAATTACAAGAAAGAATCAAGAAAGTATAGTAATATTAATCATTTATAATAAATCCTTAAATAAACTAATAGGATTGTATATTGTTGTTGTCAAAATATATTTTTTGAACTTATCTCAATGATGTTGTGACATTATGCTTATCTCACAAAAATATTTGTCTAAACTGAAAAAATGTAATATCATATTCTATTTATATGAAGTCTATATAATTATGTAATTACAGTTGAGTTGCTATTTCATTATCAATTAATAATTCACATTTATTGTAATCGTGACTATATTTTTATTGTATTCAATAATACTTTTATATTTATTACTTATTATTTATTACTTTGAAAAACTAGTTGCAAGTATCTAAATTTCATAAATGTCAGAGATACAATTGCTAGAACTATTTTGTATTCTTGCAGTATAGTTTCTTTCTTTTGTAAAATTTCTGTTTGGTATAAGAAAAATAAAAGTACTACTGAGGAGACATAAAGAATAATTAAAAGAATAATTTCGCATTGTTTTTTTTTTTATAAAAAATTAAGTTTGAAATGAGAAAAAATTGCCCATATGTAATCATATAATGTGTAATATGTATTTATAATTAAATATATAATTAAAAGTATATATATATATATATATATATATATGTGTGTGTGTGTGTGTGTGTGTGTGTGTGTGTGTGTGTGTATGATTGTAAATATGAGCAACTTAACTCTTTTAGAAGAGTGCGACAATTAGAACAATGCGACATTATCTTTTTAATTATTTTTTATGTCTTTTAATTATTATTATTTTTTTTTATATCAAATAAAAATTGTACAAAAGAAAGAATGTGATATGAATATATATGGACATATATTATATATATTTATACATGTTTATATGTATAATTTATATATACTCTTATATGAAAAACTTTTTTAAGAAATTTAAAAAAAATTAATCTCTCAAAATAAACTTTAGTGTTTTTCCTAAAGAGAATTAATTTTAATCATTATATAAGATTTAAGGGAAATGTGTTGCATTGTAAAAGATTTACCTGAAATACGGTGGAGTCTGTGTGGAATAGCATTTGACTTCGGGATGACAGGGATGATTGTCGCAGGGATTCCTGTGCCTCTCGCATCTTTCGCCGTCGCCGACGTATCCGCTTGGACACCTGCCGCATCTGAAAACAGAATTGTACTTAAATTGCGACTTAAGTATTGACGGACTATATACATTACATTTGTCATCATCATCATCATCATCATCATCGAGATGACATTTTCAATTTGTCAGTCTTGCTGAATTTCCATTTTATTCTATTCTATCATCTACAGATGACTATAAATATGATAGCGATTTTTACTTGTAACCATTGATGTTCTCGTAGCACCGCACTCCTTGGAAGCACGGCCGTTGGGCGCAAGTGATGACGTTGATTTTGACGCAGACCCGCCCGTTTCCGGTGTAACCGTGACGACAGGGGCCGCATTGGGGTCCGCTCGGGGTGTTACGGCAATCGACGCCGGGGTAGCACGGAGAGTTATGGTCGCATGTGGACGGCGGCGATGTTGGCACTACGGAATTACCGGGATCACGGCTCGAATGACGAGTGAATTGCCAATTTTCGGGGGGTTTCCGATCGCCGGTCTCCCATACGCGTTGTGCGCACCGTCGAGCGGGCCCGGGCACGGGCCCAGAAAATAATTCAACGTCGACGGGCTCAGCGTGTCGTACGTGCACGTGCAAGTGATACGTGTATACGTGTATACGCTTAAAGAGATCGACTTAAGCTCGATGTCGCGGATCTTGCGCATTCTCTTCGACTTCCTTAGAGCAAGGACAATGTGGAAACGATGCAGTAGCAACGATGCAGTTGCAAAACTGCACCTTAATTTTAGCTTAATTTCCGCCGATAAAATATTGAAATCTTATCCGACGAAAGAGAGAGAGAGAAAAAAAGACGAAGCCAATAAAAGTTTTATCTTAATTGCAATAATTTAATTGCAATAAAATCTTTATGTAAATTGCAATTTGTTCATCAGGATACGATTAGTTCAGAGAAATTAGTTTAATCTTTGCGAATACAAATATTGTATTTTAAATGCTTAAGTAAAAATTTCCACTAATTGCCCACATGTCGACACGAGATAATCTAAGTGCAAATATATATAGATTGCGCAACGCAAGAATACAAGAGTCACAACAAAGTTGAATTTTTCTAACAACAGGCATTTATTGCGTTGTAAGATTGCTTGATACAACTCGTTGCATATAAATAGATAGTTTCCGCAGACAACTGCCACGTACAGATTAAGTTCGAGGGTGTGAAGGACGACGCGCGAGAGATAGATTAATAAGATTCATTCAACATTACGATGCGGTTTTGGCTAGCTTCTAAATTAAAATAACGGTTATTTTCGAGCACGTGTCCTTTCAATACGACGGAACGTCACTCACCGAAGGGTGTACGACACGCCGAGCAGTTTTCGATCAATTGACGAAGATGTTGGGTTTCCAGCCTCTGCAAAAGAGAAGCCAATAAGTTTTTTTTAAATTACATGTACTTTTTTCTTATAATAAAACAATAATCTTCTATATTACCAAGCATTTAGCAATACTAGTACTTGGTAAGTACTTATCAAGTACTAGCAATACAAAACATTATGTAATTCTCTATATCAAAAAATATTTCTATTTTTTTGACATTCGAAAAAAATCAACGAGGTTAAGATTTATTGCGTTTATCGTTAATGTTATCAAATGCAAAATAATGTTATCAATTGCAAAAGTATTAATTTAAGATTCAAAAATAGTAATTCTCTCTCAAACATGAAGAAAAAAATTGCTTCATTGCTTTGTCACTTAACTCACATTTAGTTCCATTTCCCTCCAGAGTTTCCTGGTGGCGTTGATTAATTCGTTCAAGGTTTTCACGACTTGATCGTCGGTCTGGCAGACTAGAAAACACTTCCTGTGAGAACGCGTTAAACGATTTAATTTAACATCCATTTATCTCACTCACCTCTTTCATTCAGACTCTGGATTCCAATATCTCCTCTCGTGGGTTTTTTGTCGGATGAATCACTATCCGTCTCATTCGGATATTCGTATTCATCTTGGCCTAAATTATTCGGATATGGACTTCGACCAGGTCGCTTGGAATTATTAGGACGTCCAAACTCGGCAAACTCAATTGATGTTAGAGAAGGATATCTGTCAGAATCATATGGATTCGACCCGTCAGGTTTATTGAAACCATTCTGATCCGATTCGGGCTTCGAACCCGATTGATCGGGTTTAATGCTAGCCATGCCTCCAGATTGATTCGGTTTATTGGGGCGATGTCCCGTAATTGAAGGATGAGATCCGTCTGGATAATCAAGCTCGTCCATCTCATCTGGTCGTACAAGTCCAGGTGTATCGGAATCTTGTGCATCTGATTTATCGAATCCTGAATCCGGTTGATTATCGGGTTGTTTGTTGGATCCAAATTGTAATTCTTTAGTTGGATATCCCGCAAGAGACTGAGAGTACGGTGAAGATCCGTCTGGATAATCAAGATCATCCGTTTTATTCGATTGTCCAGATTGAGAAAACGGATCGAGAGAGCCATGCGGATTATATTTATCTGGTTTATCTTTGCCATCTGGACGACCTGAATAATCTGTCTTGTTCGGATTACGATCATTCGTGGGAGATGTCAAATCGTTAGCCTGATCCGGTATACTCGATCCCCCATTGGTCTCATCAGAACGATTAGTCAATTTTTTTTTGTCGTCTTCATCAGATTCAGAAGATTTCTTACGGTCCGGTTGCATAATAGTCTCAAATATCGAAGGTTGTTTCTTATCGGGACACTGTTCTTTCCTCAGCGCCTCGGTGATGCTTGGAGATTTATACACTTTTATTCGGCATTTTCGTTCTCTAAACTAAAAGAATTTTGAAGTATTTGTTAATATTATTATTATCAAACAAATTAATATTATTATCAATTGAATAAATTTTAATTAAATATATTGTTAGTTATATATAGGTAAAAATATATTGCATGCAGCATTTTATAAAAAAATTGTATAACATATATTCATATATAATATTAATAAAGTGATTCTCGGTGTTAAATATAATGTAAAAATTAAGGCAAATGAGAACCAAGATCTTATCTTTATTTTAATATTCACTGAAGATGACTCAAACTTGAGTCGAAACGTCTGTATTATATATTAAAGTCTGTAATAAAGAGTGTTAATTGCACACAGTGAACAGCGCTGATTTTTGCCTTAATTTTTACATAATATATATTCATTTAGACAAAATTAACAATATCTTTAATAATATTAAATTATTAAAATTAATTCAAAGAATATTTTTATTTTAATAATAACAATATATAAAAGTCTACAAGAATCTTCGAGAATAGAAAGTAATTATTGAGTGACACTGCATAAAGTCGTGCGGAATGCGCTCTATGTAATAATGTGACAGAAATAGGGCGCGAATAATTCATTGAAACGAATTCAATTCATCCGAGTAGTCAGGGCTCGTTGTGTTTGCGTTGGGTAAGCCAACCAGGTGCACGTAACAGAAGCAACTAGCTTAGGTCTCGTCAACCATATTTGGAAAGGCGTCGTCCCACGTTTGTGGACGTCACGAACAGCGCGTAAATAAGAAACTGTCGTGAGAAGAACGTGAGTAGAGAAAGAAAGCGGCAGAGAAAAATGATATCGAGATAAAATTGAAGACGATGCAACGGGAATTTCTCCTCGAAGAAATTTCGTCAATTTTCAAATAATAAGTTTAAACGATGTATTTGCACATGCACGTTACGTTTTTCCTTGATGAAATAAATAAAAGGCGAATCAAAAAAAATATGCGAAATAATACCATATTTTGAAAAATTTATCACAGCTGTGATATGAAAAGCAACTTACTACTTCCACCAACGGGCTGTTTTCGGCGTCGGCTATGTCGCGGAAAGTTTTTTTGAGCGGTATAGAGCCCTCGTAAACACAGTCGACATACACGTCCACGCGACGATTCGGCTGCATCTGATGCACCAGCAGAATTAGACTTTTCAGAGGGGTGTTCACCGCGAGGCTATCCACGTTGACGTGTGCGGCGTCTCGTCGGCCGGCCTCGTCGAGGTTTTCGAGTATAACTAGAACAACGAACATCAATATTATATAATAATTGTAATAAAGAATAATAATTTCCAAGGGATCCCGCGATCCCTGATAGGAAAATCTGTTGGCTCACCGCGCTTCGAGCGCCGATCGAGTAGAATCACCATTTTCGTTCTCGTGTCTGAATATTTCATCGCCAATAGAGTCTCGATTGAACCGCCGGAGTGCTTCTTCTTGACCTTGATGTTGGATAAAGCGATAATAAACTCATCTTCGTGCCAGACATCTTGCAGACTCGCAGTTAACACTGTATTGTAAATTGGCAAAATAAGAAAAAGGTGATAGCATAAGAAAAAATAATACTGCACCTTTTTGAAAAATAAATCGTGTGATTGTCAATTAATTAAAAGAGGTACATTGTAATTTATTATATGTTATTTAATATACGTTTAAAAAAATACTGTAAGAAACTCAACAAAGAAGGGTACAGAAGTTGACCGTAGATAGCGACCGTAGAGATTACGTTTTACGTATTGGTCATCGATCTCACGTTACTATTGGATTGTGGATTTCTTGTCGCATCGCACCGAGAATGGTCGGTTTGACGGTGCAAACGCGTTTGTCCTGAGAAACTCAAGGGAAAATGGTAAAAGAAATATCTTATTTTCGTGAGATTATTATTATATGACAAGGAGAAACGCGAAATCAGCGGTTAAAACCGATGCAAAATTTCGTCTACACTACGATTTTATTTCAACCCCGTGATTATTCCCCGTAAATATTTGCTATTCTCTTAACGTAATCAAAATCTCTCACCTTCGTCGGATATGACGCTACCATCGACAGCGTAGACAGCCAGTAGTAATCCGAGAATCAGTACATTCAGGACTCGCATCCTGACGCGATCCTGATGCACTCTGTGCGTGGTTATTCGATATCGTTTCGCGATTGAGTTTCCGGGAATTGAAAGGCTGAAGCAAGCACAAAGTGAATTTTCCCTTGTGATCCCCTCGATGCCGCTTTCTCGTCTTAGGATCGCGATGGATGGATCGTGACAGATACGACGGCACGCGCGCGGATATGGAAGGCACGGCCGCCGACTGAAGCGCGGATACGGACCGTCCGCGGCTTTATACGTCGCCCACGAATGTGACTTTACGCGAACGAGATTTCGTGTGTGTTACCTGTGTCGATACGAGCAGCGAGCAGAAAAAGATGCGAATTGATGAATTAGGATCGCCAGGCAGGCAGGATCCTAATGGCATTTATTATTTTAAATAATCTACATAGTAGTAGATTGAAAATTGTAATTGCATCTTTAAAAGAGAATGGAACGGAAGAATCGAGGGAGGATTCCCTGTGCTATAAAATCACTTTTATAAATAAAAGAAAGAGATAAAAGAAAGATGTAAGAATAGAAAGAACTAGAGCTTGTAAATAAAAAAAAATCTTTACACATCTTTAAATAAAATTAATAATAAAACGATAGGAAGAATAAGGAAAGGAATTTGTTTATGTTTACTTGTAAAATTTTCATCTTAAAAATATTATTTATTTAGACATGTACATTACTTTTGTAAAATTAGAATTATATATTTCATTTTGCATTATTGAAAGATAATTCTGTACTTGGAAACGGGTAATGGAGTAAGCAGTATTATTGCCGTATGATCTGGCTGAATGATTGGTCCTGATATCACCGATACATTACTTAGTATCTTACGGCATTATTGTGTGCATCCGCCCACACATGCTGTTTTTAACGATATGGAATAATCGGAAAGGCGCGTCAGAGCCGGCGCTAATATAAATTAAACGCTTCCTTCTACGATGACACTAGGAACTTCTCGAATTGATTAATATGCAATATACTCATTCGTACATTAGCATTCTGTGTGTTTTTTTTTGGACGACCTATATAAAACTATCATCACGTTATGATGAATATCTACAAACTAATGTACAAAGGGAATTCTGTGGAAAAATAATCATTTTCTACTTTTTATAATCTCGATGAAGCTATAAATTTATTTCTATAAATAAAAAAACTCTCCAGTCATGAAAGGGAGTTTTTATGACAGGAGTTTAGGTCTTTCCGATGCGACGGACCTTGCAACAGGTATGTAACAATGTCGCTGGTGTGCCAGTTACGCGTATGTGGGAAGTGGTCCCACCTACACATCCACATCAGTTTCAAACCATAGACACGCTGCCTAGTTTCTTCCACGATGACATATACATGGTGTTACCAAAAAATTTTGTCTTGTGTCTTCTGTCCGAAATTAAATCACCAAAATTCGAACGTAAACTCATGAAATAACGTACGATAATTTAATCAAAGTTAGATTATAAATATAATCTAAATGTAAAATATCGTTTTAAATTAAATCAAATGTATACAATTGATTTTACAAATTGAATGTTCGTGATTTCGTTTATTTTTTTACATTTTGCAAATTTCTTTTAACTCTATCATTTTTCGAGTCGAGTTCTAATTTGCGAGTAAATTAATTTTGCTGTAATATTAGGTTTGCAATTTATTGCATACCTTATGACAAAGAATAATCTCAGCTGATTATAATATGTCGAGATGTTTTGATTTTGCATTTCGATGTACGTCATGCCACATTTTTCGTCCACGCATACACGTGCCGTTGCGAATACGTGGAACGAAAGGGATCGTTTCGGCCTTTACCGTCATTTCGTCTTCGTCATTAACTATGTTTCAGCCGTGTCGGATGCCGATCGAGACTTTGCAGTCGCACTGTATTATATTATCAATTTTCCATCCTAATTGAGCGACATTACGAATACGATGTGCGGACTCTAAGTATAATATGTGTTACTGGCTCTTACGTATACCAGAGCCGGCATGGAGTCACGCAGATTTAACTCAATTGAAGCTGAGCTAACAAACGCTGCACAGATGCGTTTGATTCTGGGAAAGACGCTTTCGATGACGCTCCCTTACCTGTTATGGACCGAAATACATTATTACGTTACTCGATCACGTGGAGAGAATAATCAAACATTATGTGTTACATAAATTAAAGTCACTTTATTTTTCTTCATTCATAGAAAATATAACAGATAGAAACAATGGATTTATTTTCATAGATTTATCTTTAAGTTAATTAAAATAATTAACATTTCTAAGTAACAAAAAAAGAAACTGTACGAAACACAGGGAAAATGCAAACACATATATTTTATTCGATATATTTCTTTTCCTTATAAACTATACGGAATATAAGTAATGTATAAATAGCTTACGTAACTTGTTTGCACAACCTTGTGTCGCGAAAGTATAAAAAACAAAGAGAGAACACATACCCACGACGAAATAAATCGTCGTGGTTGCACTTGCAACGTTTTGCTTATGTCGTAACAAATACGTACAAAATAACTTCACTAGTCTAGAGGATTTTTTTAAATTTCTTACGATCTATAACTTCGAAATAAATACATCTAGAGATGAATGAATATATAAAGGCCAGGGAAATCTTCCTTCTTCTCCAATCGTCATCGCGCAAGTTTGGGAGATCTTCTTTGCTGTTGCATGACTGGATCGATCACAGATGCTTTCATCGTTGTAGCTTAATCTTATCATATGTCTGATAGACGAGTAACTTTTCAACAAGACGAGGAACTAGTCAATTGGCCCTACGTGTACGATACTGGTCTGCATTTTAGCTTCGGAAGATAACCCGCGCAAAAAACGCAATCGTCGCATATCGCAAGGCGCAGTTCGTAATAGCGTTACTGCTAAAATTATTTTCATAAAAGAACATAGATGTTTTGCGCACCGACACCGTCGGATTAAACGCATCTGTTCGAGTTGGCGAACATCGCGTTCATTGTCAATCGAGAAGTTTGACTGATAGAGACAGCGGCGTAACTCGGGTCTCGATGGTGGCTGTGCGTACCGGCGCCTAGAACGAAAATAGAGATTTTTGTGGGCTGAAGCATCGGAAGCTGTCAAAGGCCCAGAGCTCGTTTAATGACGCCGAAGACTCGGACGTTTCTTTTTAAACGTTTTTGCGCCTTTTTTTTTTAGGTATTCAGCATTGTCTTTTGTAGCCGCTATATTCTATTTTAAACCTGCGCTTTCTTCATTTCTTCACGAAAGCAACAATGTACGATGTCGTTCTTATTAATTTTAATTTGTTTAATGCATGTGGGAATGCGTAATGGGAGATTTTACTAATCAACTAGCAATCAAGATAACGAATTATCATTACGATCATGCGATGGACGTCTGTTATATAAAGTCGGAGGATTAAAAAGAACCGGTAGGGCTATTACGAAAATGGTGAAAATGGAATCTCTAGCGTACGCAACGACCGGAAGTTCCATAGTTGTGTTGGGTTTTAGAAGAGGATGGGACTGAAGCTTTGCCTGAAAATACAGGCAATTATTAGTTCGAATATTAGTAGAAAGAGGAAAGAATCGTGTTAGAATGTTTCTCGTTTTATAATCGAAAAGAACTACGATTTATAGAAACACATATCTTTTTAAATATAGATTCGCTCTTGCCTTCGTGATCACATAAGATATTATAAAATATCTGTTATAACTGTTTGAACAAACATGACACGCGTTAACAACACATAGAGCGTAGATAATCGAATTAATGCAACGGATTCGTGTTGAATTGATTTCTATTTCACGCTTGAAGTGACTATAGATTTTATTAACTTCGGCCGCAAGATCGTTACGTCTATCGAATATTTAAATCTTTCACGCAAAATTTTGTCAATTAAATAATTCGTAAATATGTATAAAATACGATAGTGTAATATGGTAACAAAGGTATAGTATAGATAGGTGTCTTGGACAAGAAACTTTATAAAGAATTTATGCCGTTCGAGACACATACTTACTTTGTTCCTCTGTCGTATGTTGAAAATGCCATAGATAATGGGATTCATGCTGGAGTTGGTGCACGCGAAGAAGAAAAGAGCTCTTTGAATGCGTAGGTCGACTTTGAGGGCCGACGGTCGATCGATCCAATACCTGTTTGCACGTGTTCGTCGATAAAGATCGTACAATAACAGCAGCGAATTTCTCAAGTAAGAAGCTCAATCTGGGATGTTATTTTTCTTTACATGAGACAGAATTTGCACGAGCATATCTGCGACCGTGAACGCCGGTCGCGTCAAAGTCCTGTACATCGTCAGTATTTTTGCATTTTCATGATCGGTCCGGCGATATTGTTGACTTTTGCAACGCGTGTGTTAGTATCGCGATTGATTTTTAGCCGACGGGAAAAATAATGAGAAAATTAAAAGTAATTGCAGACTCACCAAACGCTCATCACGTAATAGGGACTCCAACAGATAATGAAGACAGCGATAATGGTTATCGTCATTTTTAAAGTGCGTACTCGTGCTCGACTTAGAAAACCATTCGAGGAACGACGTATTTTGTCTGGAAAAAAATGCCTGTTTAGTTTATATCGCTTCGTTTGATTTGTTACTAAAGTACTAAGTAGCATTATTTGTAATTAAAATCAGAAATAGCGATTAGACGCTTTCCAAATAATTTTTAGTATTTCAGCGCGATAAATTACATATCTAGAAATTAATGTTGTTGAGCCCATCGGAATGATTATATAGGACATTTAAAATGCTGGAATATAAAAAAATGTTTGCAATATTATATTTGCTTAAACATCTTACACAGTTATTTGGATGACTTAACCAAATTACAGGTTATCTGATCAGATTTTTAGTAAAATCATTTTTTTTCGTGTAATCTCGTACCTTCGATCCTCTCCTTTGATCTACGGCAGATCTCCAAGAAAATACTGGTATAAGTGTAGAATATTACAATCAGGGGAAACCAGTACATCGTCACCATGCCAAACAGACTGTACGAAACTTGATGCATGTACGATGGGAAGGTATTGAATGTTACACATTGGGTATAACAAGTATGATTCGGATGCTTTTCGAGACTGAACACCAACATCTGCAGATGATAAAACATGTTATTTAAGACCAATTAAGTGCCTTTAATGTCTCATACCGCTTGTGGTACAACTACAAGTTACTGCACCTGTGGCATAGAACAAAGTATAGAACCAATCCATGCGAGTATCAGCAATATTTTCCCTCTCCTGTCATCCAGTATCTGGAGGGGTCGCATCACGGCGTAATATCTAGAACACGACATGTTACGTGAATGATGCATAGCTTTTAGTCCGAAATGTGTGTATGTAGTGTAATACAACGCTTAACCAAACGGAATTAAACGTCGCCAGTCGTTAGTCGAAGAAAAGAAATTTACGCGGCTTACGATATCGTTGTACCTGTCTATGCTTATGCAGATTATTATATAGGACGAAAGGTACAGGCCGAATATCCTGAAGAAAGCCATTATACGACACATCGCATCTCCTGCCTCCCAGGATACTGTGCTCGCCCATCCGATTTCGAGCGGCATCATCAGAAATGTTACCTGGACGATAATTAAATGCAACATCTCTCATATCAGCTTCCAAGTTTAGACTACGTTCTCGTCAATCGCAAAACGATGTGATTACTTTATCGTAATTTGCGCTCAAGTCGTCATACTTACAAAGAGGTCAGCGATCGACAAGTGCATTACGAGATTCTGTATTCTGGACTTGGACTTTCGTTTCTTTATTATGGTCATTATTAGCACAGAGATATTTCCAGCGGCCGATATCACCATCAGAATGCTATAAGTGACAATCGTCACTATGTGGCCATCATTGAAACGCATGTCGATTGGCAGTTCCGTGTCATTGCACTTGAGATTCTCCCCGTCCTGAGTTTTATCCAATTGCATTACGTTCCCCATATCATCCAAGATCAAGTTATTAATCATCTGAAAATATTATATTCGATTTTATCAAGTAAGACTTTTTTATTTCTTTAATTGTCAAATTGATAAAAAAAAATTTATTTCTCGTTAAAAATTTATAAACTAAATTTATAAACTAATAAAAAAGATGTTGGAGGATGTGACGTTCGTAATTTTCATTTAATGTAACGTGAACTTAAGATATCTCATGCTCGCACTTTTAGCTCGGAAAGTTTGGAAAACAATAGATCAATCCAATGCATATAGAGATAGAATCTGTTCCAATGGAACACGCAATAATTCGAGAGGCACGTGTCATGTAGACTAATGTTTATCAGATCATGGTTTATTTGTGTTTAGCGAGTTGGCCTTTAAACGCAGCAGTCATAGTTACATCATGAAGGGTTGCGTTACATTAAGAAACCATTTGCGACTCGATTCGTTTCAAATGGATAACTATTAACGTGATCGAAAATATTCAAATATACACTACATCTTTGTATAAATTACTATTTTTTAAATAATTTAATCTAATTAATTTAATTGAATTTAATTAAATTAAATAATTTAAATCTTTGTTACATTTAATATATAAAAACAATTAGAGTTTAATAAAAATCAAATATAACAATTTTTTCTTTCAAAATTAAATTCCATTTTAGTTATCTGTGTAAAAATATATTTAAGAGAAATAATATTTTAAAAATGCAAATAATTTTTAAACAAAAATATTCTTTACGAGATATGTTTGTATCGAGATGTTATGTGCCTTACGCGATAAATTGAGGGTAGAATCGCCTTCACGTCAATGAGTTTCAGGTTGAATGACCGCGAATACACTGTAAATCAGTCAAGCAGAGTGCAAAATATATTTTGAAATGACATCCGTCGATCGCGATTTGTTTGCGATCGCTTTGTCTTTACGCGCTATTGACAACGAACCCTCGTCGTGCGGGGTGTGTTGTAATACTGATTCAGTTTACTTCTCACTGAGAACATACCGAAGCTTCAGCGCAGGTCCGAGTGTGTCGTAGGTGTTGAAGCTCGAATTAGTTCACTACCTTTTGTATCTATTACGAAGTGTTATGCTCGCTAAGAAAGCTAAGGCAGTGCCCAATCGTTTTATTACGATGAAGAAATAAGAGACCGTGGAGAGATCGTGAAATTAGAGAAAGCAATCCCCTATCTCTTACAATTCCGCACTACTGCGCGGGATCTTGGTATCAAAATACCAACGTGGATCGCGTTCAAAGTACCAAATCCGCCTGACATCATGTGCTAAACATGCGCAGAAACACGGAACTAAACTTCGGCCCCGAGGCGCAAAGTGCATCGGGGGAACACGTTAAGATATCATTAATGAGTTGTTTTTCTTCAATTAAATTGATGTAATAACTCTGTTTCGTCGTGGTGTGCCATTTTTCGGGATTTAAGCGATATTAATTACGCTTGTTTTGGTAGAATTTAATGCACTAATACTACATCGCGGACGGATACACGGAGAGAAGTTGGAAAACATTATTAAACATAGTATTGTCTATATAATATCGACGAGCTTCGAAATAAACTAATAAACGCAGAAAAATTGGTTTATTTTTAACATATTTTTAGAAAATTGAACAATTTTCAATACGACGCAGAATCGGCCGGAATAGTATAGAACGAAACGTTCGACGAGAGATTTCAATTCGTAGGGGGAAAGTAATTTTCCACAACGGATGTCAATAATTGTCGCGATCCTTATCTGTGTTCTCATTATTTTCACAATATATATCGCAGGCGAATACGTAGACGAAGTCGATACGGCGCCAACTGATTTGCTTCGATTTCGGTTGAAATAATCATTTCACGCAATTATTTCGTGAAAAGAGAAAAAAAAGAAACAGGCTGTCGTGTTTTCATCCAAGAACGCTTAGATTAGATTAGAACTAGGAGCATTGTTCATATTGGAGATTAGGCACCATTGAGATTACAGAAAGTGCACGCTTTAGTTTATAACAATTATGTTAATAATTACAGGGAACAATTTGACATAGCTATAATAAAGGGGAATATTAATAATATAATTTATATATGATTTTACATGACGTAAAACACATACGTGGGATATGGCTCTATCGAATAAAGTCGATATGTCTCAATTAAGAAACCTCCTTCGCATGAACTCACGTATTGACATATCGATATAATGTAATTCGTCGAGCAATGAAACCTGATTAATGTTCTGCGTATCTGGGACGTGTTGCGCAAAAGATATTTAAGCATTACAAATTAGATGTATTTAAAGAAGAAAAAACTTTCTATTATAAGAAAAATAGGAAAATTGATTTATTAATTATTTCTAAAAAAGGTTAGGAAAAATTAGCGTTTTAAATGTGAGAATAGTTTTTGTTCGTTGTTATTTATTTTCGCAAACAGTGAATACCTCCGATATGATAAAATGTCGATGTCAACGACGTCTGTGATGATTTATTCCTAACAAGAGTGATGTTAGATAACTACAGCATGAAAAAGTACGATTTATCGTTGTACAGCTTTACTTTCAGTTTTCCTTAGGAATATTTCTAGTTTTTAACTTGTATTTCCATTAACAATTAGAAAAAAGATATTATAGCTAATCTTTTTTGTTTGATAAAAGTATAAATTGCAAAAAAATCAGAAAAAATTGTATATATCGTCGTGGATCTCTTTTCATGGGGAAAAAAAGGGAAAAATAATGCAAATATAAACATTTTCTTACTTTTTGTAATCATGCAATTTGAGCCTCGATGTTTTCAATCTATTTTGTTAATTCTTAATGTTCTTAATGTTCTTAATGTTCTTTCTCTTTCTAGATATCAAATTTTAAAAAAATTGCGATCTACAACTTTTAATAATTACAATTTTCTGCTTAGACTATCAGTGTAAAAATTGACGATTAAATTAATCAACTGCAAATTGTTGGTCAACTTTCAACAGATTAAAAAAAACTAGATTTTTTAAAAAAATCTAGAACCATATTCCCCCTCCCCTCTCTCTCATAACAGCGAAAACTATAATTGATAAACCGCAATTTTTTGTGAAAGCGTAAACTTCCGTCGCAATCATCTTCTTTTCGCGAATAACTTCCCTCGCACGTTTCATCGTCACGTGAATACCTGCGGCAGTCGCGAGCGTGATTCTCTCCACGTGCACCTCCTTCACGTGCGTGTCCTCGATCCGTTTTCTTAACTGGGATGATTGCATATGCTGGCACACATCAATTCGACGAAACCAGTCGAGAAAAAAATCTCGTATCGCGGCGAGACATAAAAAAAAGAAAAGAGAAGAAAAGAAGGGAAAAGAAGAGATTGATTTATCGTTTACCGTTTCTACGTCGGAACGTCGAACGCGTCTTCGGGGTATCGCGCGAGTTTAGCGTAATACGGGGGAGATGCGATCGCGGATCCACGTGCGGATACACGTGATCGATGGCTGGCAGACGACGGAATTCGGCACTAGTGTAATTAAGTGCGCGCGATGATCGGCGCGGGACTGCCGATTCCGCGGAACGCTCGCGATTAACCCGCCGCGATACGAACGCTTGGGCCGGCAAGGGTCAAGTGTCAAATCGCCGCTGATAGAACTAACGTATCGGAGACAGTGCCGTCGGTCGAGCACACAGTCAGAGTGTGACCAGAGCGATGATTCGTGGCAGAAGCAGAGATCAATCGTGAATGAACCGTACGCAAACTAGTACATGAATATCTGTTTGGAAAGATGAGAGTATCTGCGAGAATTATCATAAAGAACTGTTTACATACATGTTAATTGCCATTATCATTTTTTTCATTGCTTTCTAATAATAAGGCGAAAACGGTATAGCATATATTGTTTTAAAGCTCAATATTTACAAAAATTGTATATTTAAATATCTTTTACTTAAGTAAGCTTTATATCTTATATTTTCCATATCGAAAGATATTTTTAATATCAAAGACGTTAAAGCAGAATAACATTAATAATGAAATGAACATATGTCAGATTTAAGAGGCATTTTCCTGTAGCTTAATTATTAACTTCAATAATTAATTATTTAATTAATTATTTTAAAGCACTGGCTATTAATGATTTAATAAATTGAGAAAGAGAAAGATTTTTATTTTATTCATATCTTATAACAAATATATCATATATTATGTTTGCAAATATTTATTATAAATATCCTAAAAGATTTATTTCTTTTCAAATTAAAACATTAATACATGATGTATATAATAAAATACGAAATGTAGGGATACCTTTAGTTTTCTTTGCAGAAAAAAAGCAATTTGTCTTCTTCTTTATTTCCATAATAGACATTTTGAGAATACGGAAGTTTATTTCGTTTATATTTAATGTATCAGTGATGTGTAGATTATATCTATTTGATAAGACCAATAATTCGCCATGTCTAATCTTCAATCTGCTTGGAAATTCCAATTGTTTTGAATCAGAAGCAATAAGTTCTTTATATTTTATTTGTCATTAATATTTGTCACTTGTTTATCAATAAAAATATAATGCCAAGTATTCTTATGATTATTGCTAAAGAATCTGAGATAATTTGCAAGTTAATCTGCACGCACGCACGCACACGCGCGCGCACACACACACACACACACACACACACACACACACACACACACACACACACACAGAGAGAGAGAGAGAGAGAGAATAATATG